GGCCAGGCCTGACGGGGAGGGGGGGGCATGTTGGACGGGCAAACTCGCACTTTTGTCCATCTGCCAAAAAAGTTGTGCCTCCACGAAAATCCATAGAGTGGGATTGGGACTCGTGGGGGTGGGGGGGGTGCGTTGTGGGCTGGTATTAGGTACTTGGTACTTCTATTAAGCTTTTCAGACTTTTTAGTAGGAAAATTTTGTCCAGCACACCCTTTTTGACATTAAACTCTTTTTTGAGTCAAAATCACTCAAATTCTACACCTGCATTTTTGGGTAAAGGTAACGAGATGATGGGTGAGTATAGATTTACCTATTTCTGCATTTTCAAAGACTAAATGCACTGTGTTTGCATCTGCTGCTGGCAGTATCATTATGCTTTTTATTTAAAACTTCGTCCTACCTACCTACCCTTTGTGACATCCTACTGTTCTTTTGCAGCATCTTCTGCTTTGCTGCAACATGATGTACAAATGTAATGTCTGACTGACTTTCCCCCTTTAGGACGTACAGCAAAAGTGCAGGAAAGTTTTTGTAACGGTAGGTTTGTTCTATAGCTGTTTTGCCTTCTTTATTTCCCACACATATATTTTGCTGCTTTCTTCTCAACCTTTCTATCATGCTAGAAATTTCAGACAATTGTTTTCTCATCTCATAATCAAGGCAAATATTTCAGTTTCATTGCTTTTGCTTTTCACCCTCTCTCTGCTTAGCTCCAAGAGAATCCAGTTTTCAGGAGAAAAGAGGACAGCCTCCCAATCTTGTAAGTTGAAACTTTTCTTTCCTCTTGTTCGTGATTCTTGTCATCTTTTCTTCGCAAACTTTGTTTCATATGCATGTCAAATTTTCAATACCTTACTTTGCTCCTGTCTGTTTAATAGTCATATATGAAAAAGGATAATTTTGCATTTTTCAGAACATATTTTTTCTTCCATTTCTAACCATAATTTTTTTATTTATTTATTTAATCTTCAAAGACACCTGGGTAGCTCCTTCAGCCAAAGCTGATTTCCAAGGAGGCCCAGGGGGGTACAATAAGTAAAAGAATAATAAATTATACAAAGTACATAACAAAAGATGTAAATGAAATCAATATAACTAGAAGTTATACATAAATAAATGAATAATACGAAGTTCAACATGAACTGAGGGAATTTACAAGAAAACATAACTGTTTTAGTTACGTGACTGGGATTAAAAAAAAACTAACCAGGATGGCATCCAGGCTACATTCCAAAAGTGGATCCAAATCATATACTCTGGCAAAGTAACTTGTTTCGGATGGCTGACACAGAATTAACTGCATTCACTGACCCCAAACGCATTAAATCATGCTTTATCAAGCCAGACAGGGATCAATTTGACCTAGGGGTATCAGTCAAATGGCAATTGTGGACCCCCCAGGGGGTCATATACAGAGTGAAGGACAAATGAATATGATTGAGTTTGGGGTTATCACGAGGATCATCTGCGGTTGTGTGGTCTCTCCTGTGACAAGACTGGGCCTGGATTTTGTCATGGCTCTGAATTATGATGTTAACCTTCTCCTTGCCGGATGTACCCTCGAACTGAGTCTAACACCGTTGAAGTTTGTGTTGGTTACAGGGTTTAAGGGGGGCCCACAAGATCTTTTCAGTAGAGCGTAATCGGCCGTTTTAATTCTACGTAGAGCGTAGACGGACCGCTCGGCACAGAGCGTATTCGCCATTTTAATTCCATGTAATGCATTGTGGCCACTTGGCATTTATCGTAAAGCGTAATCGAGAAGTTTCCGAATTCAGCATACAGCGTTGTCGGGACCCCCCCCCCCTTACAGGCTCCCTTTAAGGCAGAAGGTGAAACAAGAAAATTAGCAACATCAGAGAAACTGGACCTTTTTTTAGCTGACATGTACTGGACTCCCTCAATTTGAGATTGATGGGTAGTTTTCTTCTCTTTTTTTTTGTCCTTTGATGGAAATCTGACTACAATAAAATTGGTCAAAAATGTGGGACGTGGGAATTCTGAACGCCAGCACAGTGCACCTTTCACAGAACTCAACGGCTTTGTTCTAAATATAGACGTAGGAGTTCACCAGGGCGTCGCCGCTGCACTTGTTGTCCTCCAGCTGACCGCATTTCTCCATACAAAGTGCTTCAGTCCAGTCAATAGGACCACTGTCCTACAACAGTACAAAAGTACAGCAACTTTCGTATTAGGTCTACTACATATCAAAGTGTTCTGTCAACTTCTGTGGCATATTTAGTCCCCTAAAAAAATCTTTCCACCCAAAAGAAAAACCACCTGACTCTCTAAAAATTCCTCTGAAAAAAATCTTCAAGCTAGCTACACCACAATTCAGGCACGACAAGCCTGGATTCTAATGGACAAACTTTGCATATATTAGCATAAATTTGCATGCATTAACCTTTACCTAACAGCAAGTTTCACCTGCACAGTGCCCAGTACCCAGCAACCTGTTTCCATCTCACTATTGTGTGGCTGGATGCGACTATTGACTCCACAGTGACACTTTGTGTGGTGAAATGCCATCAATGAGCGAGATTATTTTACCCATATTTGCTTCATTATTATTCTCCTTACGATTCTTGCATCTAAACCCTGTTTTAGGCATTGAATATGTTTGATTTTTGTCATGAAAATCTTGTATCAACGTCTTCTTTTAGCTGAGCAATTTTCTGGACTTAAATGTGTGAGTTAAAAACAGTACTCACACATTTAAGTCCAGAAAATTACAAAAACTTCCTACTGTGAAATAAATTTCCCTTGGAAATAAATGAATTTGCAGATAGAGGGCCAGCTGACTACAAGTTTTTTTCATGGTGACATCCCAGTCAGCAGTACTAGCATTCCTGCAGCAACTATCTGTTACACCTTACTTACCAAATGTTACACCTTACTTTTTGAAGGGCAAGATTTCTCCTATCAAAATCGACACTTGCCCAGCCATCCTCCATACAATCAACATGGTTCAGCCTGATCAGTAGACAGTGAATGACTGATCCTGGATTGTTGTCTCCCCCAGCCTGGCTCAGTTTTTTTGTCACCTTTGTAAATCTTACCGTCATTAACCTTTGGCGACGGACTTTAGACAGCGGAGGGTTCCACGCCTGCCTCTCGTCTCCATGGCAACTGGCAATGGGGCAGGAATCATCTGTCAATCAGGCTCTGGCCGCAGCAGGTTGATAGAATGCA